AACAAAAATGCATTTTACAGCCCTTTTTGTGACGGTTACTAGTGTCTAACGTGGAATTCTTCGGCATACGATAGCTCTGGTGATCGGCCAGATTACTCCTGAAAAAGCGCAGATCTACAAGGAAAATTCGATTTTTCCTAAAGTACCCGTAGCCTACAAGCAGTGATTTTCCGGTCTACCGTAAACCTTTTGTCATTTTTCTCGGCTTCAGTAATTTCTTTGTCATTTTTGAGACCTAGCCTATCGAATGAGCTATAGTATACCAAAAATAGGGGCAAGGTAGCAGAGTTCTTTTAGGAAAATCGTGAGGATGGAATGGCAGGCAAGTTAGTAACTATTTGGGGTGCAAAATCGTTCAAAAACGCGGATTTAAGAGCAAAAATAGGTATCCGGCAAGAATTTTGGGGATTTCTGGTAAATTTTTGGAATTTTTGGGGTGTACCGGGGCGGATTACGGTACCTCCATTCCCACGCAGTTTCCGGCCAATGACGCGAGTGTGGTCAATGCGATGCCAAGATTGTTCCGACCAGAATCGGGTCCAATTCTTTAATTCCCCGGTTTTTACTCATTTCCCCAATAATCCCTCCACCGTCACCAGCCCATAAAATTTTTTGGGGTTGGCAAAGCCGAAAAAACGGCTGGGTGAAACCCTAAAGGCATGTCTGACCATTTCTCACTTTTTAAAATGCACCCCTTCAAACGGATTAGCATAGTGGAGACGGTGGAAAGGTTGTGGAACACTTCAATAATCCAGAAGAGCGAGAGAGAGACAGAGAGAGAGAGCGAGTCATTCAAAAGGCCAGACATGCTGTCTCGGCCACCCCGGATTGCTCATTTTGTACTCTTGAAGGGGATTTGGAAGTGCGGGTCTGGAGGCTGGATTAACCACGCTCTGACCACTCGAATCAGAGCACATCCAGGGGGGCCTAGCAGAGATAATTTGCGGAAAAGCTCGGGTAGGCGCGAATTTGTTACTGGCAGGCCTCCAGAGCGATTTTGGGTAAATCTCATGGCTGCCGCTATCTTCGAGATATTTAACTAAGGGCCAGCTAGCAGAGAGCATTAAAGAATCTGGAATCTGTCTGGCAAGGCTATCTTGCAGAACACTTTGCGGAAATTCAGCGTTTTATAGGGAAAATTCGTATGGATGCTTAAGGAAAACTTTACGATAGCGGGCAGGCTTGCAGAGATTATTATTAGAGAATGGCAGATATTAAAAATTGCGCGGAGAGGCTAGCAGCGCATTTCTTGGGATTCGGATCCATAGCAATGAATGCGCTGAGCCCTGCTAGATAAGGAAACTTACCAGGTATGTTTAAGGAAATCCAGATAGGCCATACTAGCAGCGGTTTTAGGAATCCTAGCCTTTTTAACGCTTAAATCGGAGCTTTGATCTATGGAGCGGCAGTGGCCCTTGACGAAATTTATAACTGAGGAAAGCCTGACCATTTATGATTCTGAGTTTGATTATGGAACATACTCTGCAAGATGCGGCTAGTCAGCCGGGATTCTTAAGGAAAATTTGGCATTGAAAGGGAAGACTAGCAATCCAGTTTAGTCTAATTTAGTCCAGTTCACGCATAAATCATAGTCCTGATAATTGAGGCAATCTAGTTGAGATTCTCCGGGAAATCCAGGAGTTCGAAAGCTTGTGGTGGTTCTTTAGCCACCGAGATCATCAACGCGCCGAAAATTTGCTTTTGCCCGGACGGACGCGTGTTCTTTGAGGCTCAGAGTTTCTCGAAAGGCCATCCTCCTCCTTTTTGTCTATTTTCTGCTGATCAACAGTTGTGGATATAGCCAACCTACGCCATCAGTCTATCCCTTCAGATGGGTCGGATTTGGCCCGGGCCGACTATTTCGGGGGCCCCAAATCCGGGGTTGGGTTGATCCGATTCTTACTAGGCGGGGATTATGCCATGTGGAGGCTACCGTATCGCAAGCTCCAGGGATTACGGTAGAGGGGCTACAGTAGATCTCTAAGACTCCCTAGGAATCGGGTTTCGGAACGGTTTTTCCTAAGAATCGCCGCTAAATTGCCTAAGTTTAGCGGATCTATGCTTGTTGCGTATATGATCTCTGCTATCAGGCGCCTGCATCTTAAGGGATAGCGACACCAAGAAAAATTATTCACGGTAGAATGCGCAAAATATAGCCAGAATAAAATAGCCTAGCATGTGTCGGGATTATGGCTATCGGCATTTCTGCTCGGATTCCACTCAAAAACCATGAAACCAAGCGACCGGAAACTGATACTTCAAAAGATCGGCAGGGTGAAACCGGACAAGCCTCGTATTCCGTGTGATTCCACCGCAAAACAAATGCCAGATGCCTATCAAATAGCGCATCGGTTTCTCGGAAGAATATTAATCGTTTATGAAAGGGTAGGGGGTCAATTCCGGCTTCTAATTGACCGCATGACTCGACTGTTATTTGGGAGTGGCCGTCAGGAGGGGGGTACGGTAATCGGGGGCATATTATGTCATGTCTCTCTCTCACTCTCTCTCTCTCTCTCGCTCTCTCTCCACCTCGAGCTCGTGTTGCTTGTTTTCTCGCTCACCCCAATTGCCATTTCCTGACCCCTCGGATATGAATGAAAAAGTGATGAACCTAATTTTGAACAATCTGGAATTGGGGCATACTTTGGGGTACTGTAACTTGGTCAAAACGTAACGTATATTTGATTTAAACTCTTAAAAATATCGATCTTACTAGGGTTTTTGAATGGTATATTTAACGGAATTGAAAATAAATTTGGATCTAAAGTTATGGCATTTTGATGGGGGTTTTACAGTTTTAAAATCCCTTTTTTTGCTTGAATCTCGGCTAGGATATGGTTTAAAGTTAAATGACCCGTTAAGATATAGAGCAAATCAAGGGCTACAAAAGCATATATAAAACATGAAAATACAAACTTAGAAAAATTACCTTTTTTATCCCCCTATTAAATTAAAAATTTTTTTTTACCCCCGCCCGCCCCAACCTCCCTTATTATCCCCCTTAAATTTCCAGTGCCCTTGCTCAAATTTTATAGGATTTTTGAAGATCTTAAATTGAACTTTCATTTCTGCTGGACTGGACATTAGCGAATTGCCAGCCCCAAAAAATGTCTGCAAAGATTATTATGCACTTATTCCACTTATTCCATTCCACCCTCGCTTAATTATGCGAGAGAGAGAGAGAGGGAGAGGGAAAGAGGGATGCCTTTTGATGGGATTATCCGAGATGCTCTCACAAATCCTATTTATCTGTCCCTCCCTCCCCTCTCGATTTCTGCGAATGAAAAACGGCAAAACAAATGGGTTGTTAAGGCAGAAGCCGGGGGATTAACCTCAATTGAAGGGTCAGATTCCTCGAGAATGGCGTATGATACTGATAATTGGGGTGTACATAGAATTCGATGTTGTAAGGAGGGCCTGAGGGGGGCAGGCGAGCAGGGATTATTTAGGGATCTTCAGTGTTTTTGTCTCAATCTCTATCTCTGTCTCTCTCTCTCTTTCTCTCTCTCTTTCTCTTTCTTCTTCTCCTCTCCCATGCTCTCGCATGACAGGCTAGCAGAGGTATTTTGGGGAATAGTCTCTAAAATATTTGAGCGTCTCATACAGAGAGAGAATGCTTAGAAAACTGCTATAACCCTTTCACAAATGATCCCCACTAACCTCCCCGCATAAACCGAATATAAGAAATCAAAACCGGGCTAGAAGACTGGTGAGGAGCAGTGAAAACCACCCCCTCAAAGTTCCGTCTTATACTCTTTACTGTAGCGTACGGGGCATACTCAACGTATTTCGCTATACATTTCCTGACGTTCCAGGAAATCGCATTTCCACAGTTATTTTCCGGAAAAACGGGCACAAACTCTGCCCATACGGTAGTGGTTCTCAGCCGGATTCGCGGACCATAAGCCGGCACGGGATTTGTTCCAATAAATGTGGAAATGGGGCCCGGGGGGCACAACAGAGTGTACCTGTAAATACGGGAAAACGGGTTGGGAAACCCCTTTTTACTTTCAATTTTACGGCTGATGTCTAATCACCCGTACGGAGTCATCTGGTTATGGGAAAACATATGACATAAAATAGTGGATGAAATAAGGATTTTTGAAGGGTACTTGGAATACTGCCAGGCCAGACAAATCTACCGCGACAATTTTAAAAATACAGGGTTGGGAGGGCAAGGATGCGCAAGGCGGGCTAGCAGAGACCCTTTGCGTTGCAAAAAAACTGTTATTAGAAATACAATTTTACTAACGTTATTAAAAAATTTTACAAGGCCGGCTAGCTTGGGCTATTTAGGACTGAATTTACAAAAAATCAGGCCAGCACCTGGGCCCTCGCAGAATTACCTTCAAGTCTCAAACTCCAGGACTTCAAAAAAATTCTGCACCACCAGACAGTTAAAGTAGATCCGGAATCCGGATGTCCGACCGTATCTGAAAATTGAAGAAGCTTAGCCTAGCCTACACGGTGCGGCATAAACTATAGAGTACCATATTCTCTGGAAGTCTCTGAGAATTGACGATCATCATCATCAACCACCTAAGACATCCGGAGCGTTGGTACGTGAGAAAAAGGAGCGTGACTCGTGGGATATGGTGGTTTGCTCTTTGAACGGATTGTCTAGACGGACCGGAAGTGAGAGAGAGAGAGAGAGAGAGAGAGAGAGAGAGAGAAGCCAGACGGCTATATATAGATGGACGCATACCAAATCCAATAATTGGTGCCTAGTGGCGCGGGGGGGGGGATGACGCGGCGGGAAGGAACAAGAAGGGTGCAAAGTTGGTGGGATTATCAAGCACTTGTATCGCTGAAAATTCAGCGTAATTAGGACCGAAATGGATTAATCTATTTTTTTGGCCGAATTATCCGACCTGACGATTCCCCAAATGATCTTTGCTAGCATACCCCTCGATCGTTTTTAACCAGTAAGGGGTGACTTTTTAATAATGTAACTTTATCAAAAAAACAAATCCGAAATGTTTTTAAAAAATCGAATCTCAATAATGCTGCAAAACAGCGTGCTCCGGCTTGAGATGGCCATTTTCGACGGGTGTTGGCGCCTCGAGCCTGGAAAAGCTGAATATGATTTAAATAAAGGTAGAAAATGTAACCTATAAGTTTAGAAAAAACAAAATTATAACTGAAGCCTAAAAAATTATGTAAAAAAATATCACTTGAAATGACACGTACTTCTCGCCAAACGGTTCGCAAAAGGTGTGGGCATGAAATGACCATACGTACAGGGCGACTACTGTAATTTCGGCAAAATACTGGAAATTTTTCAAAATTTTTACCTGTAATAAAAACCAAAATAATGAGCAGAATCAGGGGCGAATAACCAGAGTAGATGAACAATTTCAACGCTGAGCGAGTACTACCTAAACAAATGTCTAAATCGTTTTCAAGGGCCCGGATGGCTAGCAGAGATATTTCAGGAACTACCGTACCAGTGCATAGTGTCTCATCGGAGGCGTACGGGCAATTTCGATTCCCGTTGCAGGCCAATTCCTTGGGGATGCATTTGCCGTCTCCGCATGAGAGCATGTCGATTAGAGAACAGTTTTTGTCTGAATACCGCTTGTTTATGAATTTTATTTCTTCATAAACCGTTTGTCGGAACTGTTCCGACCATTCAGAAATGGAATGCGTAGGAGCCGCGGGGGCTATTTCGAAAAGCCCACAGGGTTTCGAAATAGGCTTCTGGGCGGAGCCCGCAGAGGCGACTATAAAAAGCCTGCCGGCCCCCACTAGCTCACTCTGAACAAACTCACACCGATCGTGCTCACCCCGCTGTGTCAGCCCAGACTAGGCGGAGACGATAGCGCGATCTGTGAAGATTCAGAAGAATAACAATTTATCACAGATTTCCATTACTGGATAGTTCCCCACTACGGCAAATATAGTGCATTGCAGTAATTGTATCCTCTACCTCTCTTGCAATAAAGATATACCCCAGTGACGCCCAGAAATCTACAAAGAACACCGACTGTAAGCTACGTGGGCATCACATTTTGGTGCGTCGGCTATTCTAACCCGGGCTACATTCTACCACCTCAAATTTCCAACTGGTGCAAGCCCCTTTCCTAAAAAACCCCAAAAAATTTGTTTAAAAATCCACTGAACGTAAATCCCCCCCTTACTTATCAAGAAACCTATCTATTTCCAATCTTGAACGCCATAATTCCGAGTCGAGCGACTCACTATATTCCGAACCACCCGCCCGCTGAAGACCACGCTACGGCAGTCGCACAGCAGCAGTGTCAAGTAAGTCAGTTTCATTATTGCAGTTCATTTACCGTATAGCCCTAAATTTCGCATTTCAGTCCAATTTCTGCTCCCTATCAAAACCTTATCATATAAAATAGTTAAAATCCACTAAAAATTTTAGTAGACGTATTACTTATTGCCATCCTTCTTATTTTATTAACCTTCCTTATCCTATTACTCTGTGCCCAACCGTATCCCCGTGATTTTGAGCAACAAGTTCGGTCACCCTTTGATCCATACACCCATTTCGGCCCCCATTTTTATCGCAACCGTAACCCTCGCACTCTACGAGCAGTCCTCGGGACCAGAATGGCGGGTAACGGTCAGCCTCTCCGCCCATCTCGGGCGTTGGAAAGTCGAGAATATTCCCGTAGGGTACGAGCCGTAGCCGACACGAGCCAGGAAATTACGGAACACATCCAATTCGATATGAATGTACGTATTCCTCAAGTGGCGGTATTAAAGGAAGCCGAGCGGGCTGCCGCCGCGGCTCGACTACCTGATCTTTATACCCAAAAGCGGACCCTTGAAGGTGCAGTGCAACAACTAGACGACCAGATTGCACGAATTATGGAATTAGAAGAGGATCCAGAACATGAGCATTTTCGTGGTATCCTCGCAAATCTAGAAACCGATGAGAATACCCGTATTCTCAACGACGCAAGACGATACATTAGGTGGCTTACAACAGCCTATCAGGGCCTTGAAGGCCAAATTCATACATATGACAAATATCTAAGGCCCCCTCCCGTCGCCCAGCAGCGGGAGGCCGTTCCGAGAGAAGAGGTACAGCCTGCAATCGCTCTAGCGATCCCTAACGCTCCGCGCCTCCCCGAAATCCAACTCCCTGAATTCAATGGGGATCCGATAGAATATAATGCATGGATTACAACCTTTCGACGAATTATCGGGGACAATCCTCAATTAAATGCATTAGATAAATTTAGTTATCTTAAAACTAGCTGTCGCGAGCGAGCCCAAAATATTGTGGGCCACCTAAGGCTCACGCCGGAAAATTATGAAATAGCGCTGACACTTTTGGAACGGCGTTACGCAAACCCGGAATTACTGATTAGGACCCTGTTCAACAGGCTTGAAAGCATACCCTCCACTAGGACCACGGCAGAAGCCGGACCTACCTATGATAGAGTGCGCGCTATCATTGAAGAACTACGACAAAACAACGTAGAAATTGATCCACTGACTAGAGAACGCGTGATTAAAAAATTCCCAATAACGATTCAAAAGAAATTGTATAACGCCGAACACGGCCATCAAAATTGGAACCTTGAAGAATTCTTAGAAGCGCTTCATAGCGCAATCGAAAAAGCGGAGCATTTAATGAATGTTACCGATCCCCGGCACGATGCCGAAAAGGTCAGCTTAGCTATTAATAGAGCCTATGAGAATTCCCGATACAGAAACGCAACACAAAGACCTTCATCCCCGTTTTCGAGCCGGTATAACCAGGAGTCGCGACCGTACGGCGCCGTACCGGCCTCAGATCGGTTCCCCAGGAATAAGAGTCAGGAAAGGAAAAAATTCTGCGTTTACTGTAAAAATACAGATCATATTAGCCTATACTGCTCGAAAGTCGCAGATAATGAGGAACGGCGAAAACTCTTGCGGAAGGAAGAGCGCTGTTTTGTTTGCACGCGTACTAACCCACATGACTGCCGCAAAAGGCCATGTAGATGCGGATCGACTTACCACCATCCGTCGATTTGCCCACTCGACCCAAAAATTGGCTCCAAAATTAAGCGAGGCCGTTCCCCAGGCAAGAGACCTAATTCAGGAAGCTCCACTCGCGAGCAAACTCCGGGACGAAATTTAAAAGACCATGATTATGATACTGAGAACGATGAAACTTCAGGTGAACACGTTACCGAGCCAGAGTCTGCTGAAGATTGGTCATCCGGCACCGACTCTGAGTCTAATGAGGAAAACATAACTTCTGAAACCTTTAGTACCACCGCGATTAACCTGAGCTCTCCCATGGACATTGGTGGCAAACAGGACGATGAAATTTGGCAAAGCGAAAATAGCCTTAATGTCTTTTCTCTTTCCCTATCGGTTCTAGAATCCACAGAAACCATAGATTTAAATGAAACCAGTCCACTCCTCACAAAAGTTAAGGCGCCTAAAAACAAAGAGAAAAAAGTGAGGAACGATTTTAAACCCACTAATAAAAACCGGACAGTTCCTATACTAGCTGCTCTTGGGCAGCCGCCCCTTGCAAAGGTAGACTATCCCCGCCGGAACAGGCATGCTAGAACGCCACCTTACCCGGATCCACCTAGAAGAAAAATTAACTTCAGGATGGGGTCCGCACCGATTTTCCTAGCGTTATGTATTTTGGCCTTAGGATTGGCTCCCGCCTCCGCGGACGCCACGCAGATTGGCGCTACGCTAGGCATCCGCAGTCTAGTACCAATTCTCGTAGCCCTCACAATCAGGCTCCCACCTGGTGCGGCGCGACTACGGTATCGAGCAGCTTACAGTCAAGCAGCTCCGAGTTTTCGGCAAAGGCCTGGCCGAAAGTTTGGCCATAATATGGGCAATACTGGCATATATATGGGTGAAGCGAATAGCAAAATACGCCAACTCTCTAACAGAGTTGCCAGATCTAATCGACGCCAGATCATGGCTCCATTGGAAGATGGGCTAGACATCTCTAGCTGCATAAATTGGACACCGCATAACAGTATCCAGATGGCACTGGAGGCGCCCAGTGGGGCCCGCGCGACCGTAGAAATTGATACCAATGACCCGTATCTAAACAACAGGTCGAATATCCAGATTTCGACTCCAGGGACCGTCCCCTGTCGTACGCCTCTACAGACCAGAGATTATTTACGCCGAAAATATAGAGCGTATTCACTTTTTAAAGCAAAGTTCAAAGAGTTGGCTTTGAAGTTCCCTGCGAAAGAATTCGGAAATTGGACCATGTGCATTTTTGGTGTCGATACGCAATCCACCGGGGCTATTAGCCAGTTAAACAATTCCAATTCTAGAAGATCCCCTGAACCAAACAGCTTGTCCCTTGTCGCTTCCCCTGAACGTCGCTCTCTCCATTGCTTCTAATCCCAAAAATCCGAACTTTGCCTGTGATCATGCAATCCTACCTCCTGCATTTTCCATATTACCATGTGATAATACATCCGAGCTTGTGATTTTTCCCGCCTGGAGTGTCGGAACTGTTCCGGACCATTCAGAAATGGAATGCGTAGGGAGCTGCGGGGGGCTATTTCGAAAAGCCCACAGGGTTTCGAAATAGGCTCTGGGCGGAGGCCCGCAGAGGCGACTATAAAAGCCTGCCGGCCCCCACTAGCTCACTCTGAACAAACTCACACCGATCGTGCTCACCCCGCTGTGTCAGCCCAGACTAGGCTGAGACGATAGCGCGATCTGTGAAGATTCAGAAGAATAACAATTTATCACAGATTTCCATTACTGGATAGTTCCCCACTACGGCAAATATAGCGTATTGCAGCAATTCGTATCCCCTACCCTCTTGCAATAAAGATATACCCCAGTGACGCCCAGAAATCTACAAAGAACACCGACTGTAAGCTACGTGGGCATCACACCGTTTAAACTAGCGAAAAATTCGAGATTTCCGCGAAAGTGTGTTAGGCCTGACACCCACCCGACGGAGGTTCGAAAGGCGGGTTCTAAAGGTTTTTGCTTTTGTTCTGCCGATCGGAAATTGCAATTTCCGCATGACCCCTCGTTCCGCGTCCGCTTACCATTGATAAATGAGGAATAGAGAGCCCGGATCTTGGTCTGCGCAACGAGTTTTCCGCTAGACAACCGGAGACGCAGGAATAATACATGGCCACCCGTGTAGATATCTCGGACGCCATGAGACCGCATAATCTGGAGTGGAAAACACAGTAGGAGTAGAGAGAGAGAGAGAGAGAGAGAGAGAGATAAGTAACTCTTTATCGGGGGTGCCAGTAGTGCTCGCGAATACTTCGACAAAGCGGTCCTCACAATTATTCGGTCGGGCCAACTCGAACTGGTCGAATGAGAGCGAGAGCTGGAGATGAGGCGGTGACTCAATTCTCCATACGCATTCCACCGGGCCTGGGTTCGGCTAAAAAGGGGGTGAAGCGGTGCATTTTAAAGGAGTCGTACACGCAGAATGCTTCTCTAACTTCTCGTCACATTGCAGAAAGTTTGCACTGGAACCCGAGCTGTTTTCCTGGTAAATGAGAGCACTACCATTCAGCTACGAATCGATTACATTATTTTCGTTTTTTTCTAGTTTTTGACAACTCGGAATAGCGATTTGCAGCGCAATCTCAAAGAACCTCTGCTCGCTTGCCCTACCCACCCTGACATGTTGAATGGCCTTCGAGTCGATCCATCCATCAAGCGCATTGTGGACCTCGAAGTGACATTCTAAAGGATGTATTAAGCTCAGTTGCCAAGTATTGTTTGGCGTCCGCTATACTGAACGCACGCACATTTGCGTTGAATCGATTACGGGCCTTTACGCCATCCACGCTGCGCGCGTTGCGTCGAAGGCCCCCAAAATACCGGACATATTACAGATTTGTTCGCCCCTATAATTCGACATAAAACATACCATTAGCCCCTTGACTATAGGCAGGCGCGAGAGATCGAACCATCTCGTGCGTAGCGTGGAATCCCTTGTACTCCAGATAGTCGTCCGAGTGGAATCGCAACCACATGTAGCCTAGATTTTGTATTTTTGTCTTTTAAAAAACTAGCTGAAAGCATGGATTTTATTCGTGTAAAAATAAACCTGAAACTGCTCGAATCTCCACTGCGGGCAGTACATTGCCACAGAATTTCCCAATCAGCGTCGAGAAGCCGTACCGGCCGTCGCGGAATTCCTGAAATTAAAGCATTTTGGTTTTACAAATTAGTAAAGGTGTAGTGCGTAGCGTGTTAGTGCACGTTTCAGTCCATTTCGAAAAGGATTACGCGCCGAATCTGAGGTTAGCGTCTTTTTTAATCTGTTTTTACAGTGTTTTTTAACACCAATTTAGGCTGACAAAGAGTCGTTTTTAGGTGATATTGGAGTTTTTGAACGAGACCTAGCTAGTTCGATAGAGAAAAAAATTCTGAACAAGATGTCGTTTTCCAAATCTGCTAACCGTGTACTGTATTCAGTAAAAATTAATTTTAATGAAAAAATTCCTGGACGTGAGGCTGCGGCTCATGGATCAGGCCCGGGACATAGCCCACAGCGCGAACCAGCATCCGCATGAGATCGTGGCCTAGTGGATAGTGCCGGCGCCTATCAAACTTTTGCAAAATTCTGCCCAGGGTTCGGAACTTATTGTGAATTATTGTTTTGCTTTTTGGTTTTTCATGCCATTGAAATCGAATTTGGCATTATCGAGCAAAAAGCAAAGGAGTTTTACTAGCGAGGAGTCGAACCCGCTGGCAAAAAAAAGACAAAAACTTATGAAGCAAGCGCACTACCAATAGGCCAGCTGGTCATGGCTGGAGGGAGGCCTAAAGGGGGCTATGTTGACGCACACCTAGCACGCAGAATCTGCGGATCAGGCGGAAAATGATGGTTAGATTAATGATTTTCAAACTAATTTTTATTGAACAGCGTACACGGTTAGCAGATTTGAAAAACGACATTTTGTTCAGAATTTTTTTCTCTATCGGACTAGCTAGGTCTCGTTCAAAAACTCCAATATCACCTAACAACGACTCCTTGTGAGAGTAGTAAAATGTGTAAAAAGTGGAGTAATAAACGCGTTAAAGCCACAAACTTACAATATAATCATTGGGACATGGCTGATCCTGGGCCGGATTGCTCCCATAAGCGTCTTCGATCTAAACCCGGAAAATTCTAATTCGAGAGGTTCGAATACCTGGAAAAAGTGGTTGAACTTGACGACAATATCATACCCAGGGCTCGCCTGGATCACGCGAACGCAATCCTAAAAACGGCGAAATAAAAATCCATAATAAATTTTTGTAATTCTACTAGAAATAAAGTTTTTACCCAAAAACGTACATTAAAAAATACGTACCTGTTTTGACGGGTAATGCTCCGGATATTTCGGGCTTGCAATCGAAGCCAATGATTCCAAACCCAAGCCGAAAAGGGTCCCGCAAAGATTCGAGTTATTTTCGGGGAATATCTCGGGCGCCGGTAGGGCTATTCCTAAAAGATAATGTGGTTGAGACATTCCGAACAGTACGACATGGCACCGGACCCCGTAAGGATGCTTTACCCAGACTAAAGTACGCGTGTTCCAAGTGTACGTGTGCGTACTTTCAAGCTTCGCTACCAAGCCCACCTTCCAAACTCGTCCATAGAGATTGCAAACCAAGAAATGTGAAAAGAATTCGGGCCATCAGCAGGCGGGCGACGGCGTGGTAGAATGTCGAAGGCGCATACTTTAGAAAAAGGGGCTTGCAAAAAGGGGCGAATGGGCCAGAAAAAGCCGTTTATGGGAATGAAACGGACAGGTCGGGTATGAGGGCGCAAGAAAGCAAGAGGTATCCGGAAAAAAAGCAACGATTTTGGAGTTTTGAATTGCTAAGATCTGAATTTGCTATTTCCAAGGCCAAATCGGCCAAAAAGTGTTGCTAAGACGAATTTTTACAGCATAAGCCAATAGAAGAAGGTTAGGAACGCATTTACCAATATTTTGTATGTGATTTTTAGAACCTACTAACTGGCATTTCCAAGAAAATGGTCGTTTGAACGTTCAAGGACTGTTCCTCAGATTTTATAACCGGAAATTGGTCACCGGAAACGTTTTTCGACATTTATTTATTTATTAAAGCGCATCAAAAATAGGCGAAAAACTAAAGCCTAAAATAGCCGGAGACCTTCCGGGTAGAACTTGAAACCGAAATGCCGAAACTAGTGGCAAAGCTGGGCCCACCCCCATGAGGACCAGAAAATTGAGTTGAAGCGCGGCGTTTTATCGCGTTTTCGGCTGGACTAGGGGGGAATCCCCTCCCGTGGTCGAGAAGAGAAGCCGAAATGAACATTCGAGGGACAGACAGACACACAAACAGACAGACAGGCAGCCGCAGCAACCCCCCTGAAAACGGATGAAGAGCCCCTGGCATCATCACAACCAGATGATAGATTCACACCACCCAAGAATCGCATAAAAACGACATCATTCGGTTTCCCTTCCTGGTACCTACGGGGCGTCAAGGCAACCCTCAAAAAAGGAAAAAGCTGAAGGAGGAAGAGATGGATTCTGACGTCTAACATTTTTTGGAACTGATGTTCGCATCTTGCAAAAAAATTGCCGACACGGAAAAGCAAGGCTACACGCGGATACAAAATCCCAGGGAAAAAAGTTGGGTACTAGACTGTTAGCTGGGGGACCAAGTGGATTTTTAGCAATCCCCTAAGGCCCCACAATAAAATAAAACCGTTTTTATAGCAACTTGTGCAGTTTTTAGATATCAACGCTCACAAAAAATTCTAATCACTTTCCAAGATTTTTGATTTTTGGTAAGCAATCCTACTATATATAAAAAAATAGTGTCTGTGTGTCTGTGTGTCTGTGCCACTTTGCATCCACTTCCGTTTGGCTGTCCGGAGGATATCTCGATAAGGGATGAATTTTAAGGTATGTATGATACGTCATTAGGCGCGTAGTGGCCTATAGATGACTGCACGCATCTGAGATTTAACAAAATTACCTATTTTCGACATTAAATTTAAGTTTTTGTGAAAACTTCTTTGTTAGGAATAATTAGCATAGACCGGAAGTGGGGATTCGACTATATAAAGAGGTAGAAGAGGTTGTTTTTCATTTTTGGTCAGCTGAATCCTACTATATATAAAAAAATAGTGTCTGTGTGTGTGTGCCACTTTGCATGCAACTTCCGTCTGTCTGTCCGGAGGATATCTCAAGAAGGGAAGGGTGTTAGCCTACGTATGATACGCCATTAGGTGCGTAATGGCCACGAGATGACTGCGCGCATATCAGATTTTACAAAATCAGTCATTTTCGACATTCAATTATGTTTTTGTTGTAAAGTCGGGAACCCTCTTTGGTAGGAAACAATTTAAATAAACCGGAAGTGGCGGGAGCCTATATGAAGAGTTAGAGAGTGACATTTTTCATTATTCACATCGGACTGGAGAACCGTATGCAAGAATGCAAGTAAAAAATATTATTGGTTTAGGATACCATTTTATGAAAGTGAAGGGATAAAATGGGGTTCAGACGTAGATTGAATCGGGTCGCGGAAGTGATTTCCAACCCTGGTCAATATATTGAAATTGCAGCTTGAGTTTGAAAAATCAAATTTATTGAAAAAGCTTTAATTCCCCGATTGTGGCGCCCAAAACCATTTATCAAAGCCTCCCGGTCTCAAAAAATCATGAGAGTCGTTTTATTAGAAAGTCAGTTTTTAGTAGAAAGGGTGCAAAGTAAGGTGTTATGCCACGGTTGTGTCTGGGCCCAGAATGGCCCATTTTACCCGTCGTCAGAACCCGGCTGGACCTAACCCCCAAAAAAAGGCAAGATGCCCGAAAAAGAACAAAAAGAGCGGCTGGAGAGAAAATAAGACGTAGATAGCCAGAAAAAGAAAGGCCGGTGGTGCTCATCCCACGCCGCATGGCTAATCGGAGCTTCCGCTTCTTCTGGGACCCCCTCCCTTGGTTCCCAGTTTTGACCCCGGGAATGGCAACCACGCGGAACTCTTTTGCCTCCGCCACGCACACCGCGAGGAATTTCTGATTGTTTTTGACGCCAACTCCCGGAGCACGTCCTTGGGGAGTCAGGAAAAATAGCTAAAAATAGAGGAGCTGAAGTGGGTAATTGAATTAGATCGTTGCAATAGTTTTTATTCAGGTGCTACAGCGATTGGCTCTTGGATTTTCGATATCTGGTTGTTAAAAATTGCATGTTTTGGAAATTTTTCAATCTAATGCTTTTTATTTTTTACGAAATGTTCGAGTTAAATCGTGACTTAGGATTTTGAGGATTTTCCGCTCTAGACGTACAAAGCACTACATTCGTGTACGGTAGAGCGTCTCTAGGAGCGCGGGCGTACTCATTTTCCTTGTCGTGCCGTTAGAAGCAATTTATTCAGATTCTTCATCAATTGGTTCCCGTTGTTGGGACTCAATCCGAGCACTTGGACACTCGCTGCGGGTCCCTCCACGACTTCGAGACGTCCAGGGCTGCTGTTCGGGTCGCTCGAGGCTTCGTAGACTCGCGTCGCGAGACAGACCACCCGGTCCACCGTACTCTGAGCGCTCCTTAAAAAAATGCTGCTATAAAATTTCTTCTCTACTGACTCTTACCGAAAATAGATAATCCTCGACGATCGCGGCAAATTGGTCGATGGATAAATGGCCAACCGAGGAGACGTCCAGCTCTCGAAATACCTAGAAGTCATAAATGGTTACTTAATCTGGATTTGAATGCCGATGCCGATACCTTGTCCGCCAGTTCATCGCTGAACTCGCCAAACTCCTTGGCCACGTACTGAAATTGGATTTTAAATGTTGCTCGAAAAAATAAAATTATATTTTTTGATCATCCGCGAGAAAAATTATGATTAAAGTCAATAAAACAGCCCCAAACCTTGAATTCATTCTCCGTAATCACCCCATTTCGGTCTTGGTCAAAAATTTCGAAGCATTCCTGAAAATAGTATCATCATGTAGCAGGTGCAATTGAAATTTCGTCAGATTTTACCTTATTAAACGCCAAGAAGTTTCTTGATCTACCCACCCGAATCAGCTCGTCATTTGTGGCCTTGGCGAGTCGTTGCGACTTCTTCATGCAAGCACAAAACTCATCAAAGTCAATTTCTCCATTTCCATCAGAATCTACCTAGTCAATTAATAGCATCAACGCTCGATCTTTTCAATAAATACCTCTCGAATAATGTTCTCTATATGCTCGTCACTCATTCCGACCCCAAGCTCACGCATCGCTTTCTTTAGCTCCTCGGACCCAATAGCGCCTGGAAGGAAATAACTCTAATGATTTTAAAGGTTTTGAAGACCTACCCGATCCATCGGTGTCGAACATTCCAAACAATTGCTTCCACTCTTTTAGTTCTTTTTCTAAAATTTTGCATAAGGTATGGGAAAAATCTGTAGTGATGCCGCGCCCGCGACACGCAACGCACGGGCCGGTAACGTTTACCACTCGTTACGTGTCACCAGCGGGCCTTAATTCATCTTTAATCTGTATAAATGGTAAATCCCATTAGCGTAAACCGAAAAAGGCATGCCTCCTACTTTGAATATTTTTGCTCTCCTTTGGCCGTCCGCGCCGTGCTCGACCCATCCTCAGTATGTTGCGAGGCATGAGATTGCGATGAATCACGCCTAGAAAAATTACAAAAAATCGTTAACCATAAAACTAACTAACCGCAACTTCAGATTCCCATTCCGAAGCGTTTCCGCATTTAGTGGTTGCGGGGCCACCCGATTGTTTGGCATTTTCAAAAAAAGTTGGTCCTCAAACAGCTTTTCAAATCAATAAGGTAGGAGTCGGAGAAAAATATGATATTTTGCCGGTCTAAGCGAGAGCTGAACGCCCATCGCGTGTTGGATAGCGATCTATTACCCACCACCCTTCATCAATAATTTAAATCTCCACACATACCTGTCACCAAGTATGAAGCCTAGGTTTTCCCTTGATTTTTCTGTGTTTATTCGATGTAATTCTTGTAAAAACACATTTATCAAGTTCAGAAGCGTTGACGATATCCACCACCGCTGTAGCCACCACCAGATGGATGAGTGTACTCGCCGGTGTCGAGCTCCGAAACTGACGGCGCTACAATTTCCTGAACGCCGCATGAAGAGGGACAGTGTCCTCCAGGCTCGCCTAAAAATAATAACCATTAATACCGTTCGACCATACTATGAACATACCGGAATCTCCAGGAGGTCCGAATGGCCCAGGAGGACCAGGTTCTCCACGTCGCCCGGGTGGCCCTGGGGGTCCCATCTCTCCAGGTGGCCCAGGAGGTCCAGGGTTTTGCGAGGGCAGGCCATTCTGGCCGGGTGGGCCCTTGGGTCCTCTGGGTCCAGGTGGGCCAGGTGGGCCCTTGATTCCGGTTCCTCCAATCGAGTCATCGCCGGGAGGTCCCTTCATTCCGGGCTCTCCAGGTTCTCCAGGTGGTCCCTGTGGACCAGCATCTCCAACACGTCCGGGCTTTCCGCTACGACCGGGTAGTCCTGAAATCGGTTTGATTTTGTGTGAAAGTGCCAACCTGGCAATCCGGGTTCTCCGGGTGTTCCGGGCCTTCCGGGCTCTCCCTGTGGGCCACGATCACCGGGTGGTCCAGCTGGGCAGATGACGCACGGGAAGGCCGGTTCCGGATCGAGTGGAACGTCCAGACCATCGAGACCGGGTTTTCCGGGCCTTCCGGAAGCGCCGTCGATTCCTGGCTCTCCATTCACTCCCGGGGGTCCTGAAATTCGCTTGACTATATCTGGTTCATGCAGCTCCTAGATGTCAATTTTTCTACCGTACCTGGTGGACCGGGCGGGCACTGTAGTTGTACACAGCTGGTGCACTGTGCATTTGAGTCGTCGTTCGAGAATCCACCATATCCTGAAATTTACGCATTTTATATTTTTACTTCATTTGCTTACCTTGGCGCTTGATACGTCCGTTGCTACGCACCACCATGATGTCAGACCAAATTCCGCGAGCCGTGAACTGAAGGAATACTCATTTTTAAAACGAGATTAGGCCTATCTATATATTTTTTCCAGGAATATCTGATCTAAGAGAAAGAGTAAGACTAGATAACTATACCTTAAAAGCGTCCATCCTGCCCTGCAGGCGCTGCTGAGCCGAATCGAGTTGCTGGTTCAGAATCGGGATGACGATGGCCAGGGCGAGGAGGCAGAAGAGCGACACTGCCGAAACGGCGAGCGGCACGCTTCTCGACGGGATACCCGCCGAAGAGGTGTCGTGCATCGCTAAAACGATGGAATATTCTAGAGCTAACTATAGAATTAGGAGCCCTGGGAAGTCTAACTGGAAATAGGTCTGTTGAGAATGACCACCGGTCCCTCGTGCTCACCCCCGGCTCGCCAAAAATTAGGTCAGTGGGTGGTGATAGCGGGGAGAAAGTCTGATCTCATGCTCTGAGGGGCAGCGAGACGCCTGGTAAGGAGTTCTGGCCAGGAAGAATAGACAAAGGAAAATCCTAGTGAAAATCAGCTCAAAAAAATCAGATTTTCGTTGTTGTCCATACCGTAACCATGGAAATTCTTACACGTTTTTGCATCGTCTTTTTGCATGGTCTCACGACGTGGTAGATATCTTTCAATACGTAAAATCTTCTTCTCCATTTATTATTTTTATGCTTATTCGTTATTTGTCGATCTTTTGTAACATTTTTACCCTTTGAAAATCTCGACAACCGACATTGCTGGCACCCAAGCCGGGCCGCCTCCTATTTGGTGTCCCACGACAGTAGCCCCTGCGCGCAACAGAGAAGAGATCCTCCCCAGCCCGCGTCCGCATTTCCTCTTTTTCGCGGGCCTATCACGACGTTTTCAACGTAGAAATTCGCATTGAATTATTTTGATTCTGTATCTACGCTTCTTAGCTTTCGCTCCGTGTAAATTGCTGCAAATTCTGGCCAAATTTCTATTTTTCAGGTAAAATGGACAAGCCAGTTCAACTCGCCAGAGTCACCAAGGTCCTCGGCCGCACCGGATCCCAAGGACAATGTACACAGGTGTGTGGGCTTTGCAGTTGGACTTTCAGCACTGTTTTAGCCGTGAATAGCACAGAACCGGGCGCTACTTAAGTTTGCTGGCCCCACTTATATTTCGCCAAAACCTCATGTTTCCGGGCTAGATTTTTGCGCTGATTACGAAAAACACTATCCCGAATCGTGAAAGTTGTGTTTTGAAGGGAAAAATAAATTTCATTGTCAGTTTTCATGGTTTGAGTTTCAAGGGGTTAACTAGGGCGTTGAGGTGGGAGGCCTCTAAAATGGGGAAAAACCTATTTCCAAGAAGGCTTATCCCTTGCGCTCGGTTTTTTCCTAAAAATAAGGCTTCGTGCCACCCCGGGGCCTAGTCGCTTCGGATGGGTGCGAGCTCGTACAGGGTTTCGAAATCGGGGCGCCCGAGGCAGAGCGCAGCGGCCAGGCGCCCTGGATTTCGAAAGAGCGGAGCGGCAGCCCATCCGAAGCGACGGTCCGCCTTGCCTGACAAGGCTACAAGCGTATTTTTTCTTGGTAAACCAGTTTTGGTTATTTATTTAGTTAAAAACCCACAAAAATACGAGTTTTTTTCGCAAGCGCCGTAAAATGGAATTTTCCCGATATGCAAATGAATTTTTCCTAGATAGCGTTTTCACGGGCTAGGACAGTGTTTTTCGTAATCAGCGCAAAAAACTAGCCCGGAAACATGAGTTTTTGGCGAAATATAAGTGGGGCCAGCAAACTTAAGTAGCGCCCAGAACCGTTTTTGAGCTTTTAGCGTCGATTCTACTTTTAGAGCTTTTGCCTAAGCTTTGTACGGGACGAGGGCATGTCACTTGTCATTGGATCCATAGAAAAACATGAAAAGCTGAATTCTACTTTATTTTCGTCTCTTGCCTATGGAAAAATAACTTTCGCAGCTTACGTGACGAAAGTCCTGTACCAGGATTCTAGTCTTTTGCTGAGCTCAATTTTATAAATTTTCTTTCCAGGTCCGCGTCGAATTCATCGGAGACAACACCAACCGATCGATCATCCGCAACGTCAAGGGACCCGTTAGAGAAGGAGACATCCTGACCCTCCTCGAGGCTGAGCGCGAAGCCCGCCGTCTCCGCTAACTTCTCCGTATTTGTTGTTTTGTTTTCGTTGCTATAAAACCTTTTCAAGTGAAACGCCTTGTGACACGAAAATACACGTAAAGCCGTCATACTAATGGCCCGTTTTGCTTTTGCCTATAAGACTTCTAGGTGATGCCCACGCGGGTCACTGAGAGATACGTTTCGGCTGGTACAAATCAATCGGCCAACTCGTTAGCAGTTTCTTGCGATGGAGACTGGCTCGTTTATGCCTCGGATCTTGATCTTGTCAGTGTGGCTGTTGTAAGTTGAGATACGCTTTTATATGAACTTGTGGCAGAGCCCTGGCGTCACGAGTAGGACGATAGCGCCACGACGTCACACGGCGGCTATCAAAGCTTTGGCAAGGTGCAGACTGCGGGAGGGCACCAACGCGGTAACGCCTAAACGCTCGTCAGCATCTTTTAGAATTCCTTGTAACTGGTGGCGCGGATGGTCGCCTGGTTGGGGCGCTTGGGTGTGGATGGATCGACGCCATCATTTTCGGGAGTCAGTGTTGAAGACAGAGTGGTGGTTGCCGGAATAGTTGGCAGTATCGCTGACGATGAACATGCCACTATCCTCGGAACTTTTGTGTCTGGAGCCGAATATGCAATCAAAGTAAGATCCAAGGGCTGCGAAGAGCTAGCTATGTTAGGTGATCACCGTCCAAGCATCGACTGACCTCTTTTCGTTTGAAGGCTCGGAGACGCTGGTTCTTCCCGGGAAAGCTTTCGTCTTGGCCGTGGATTTTGCTACGTTACATGGTATTTTCAGTTGTTTTCACAAATATTTCCGCTTAGGGTGCGAACTGTTGGCCTTGGGGACGTCGAGCCGTACAATCGAAGTGTTTACAAAGCAAGCGGGTAGCTTCAAGCACGGCCTCAGCATACCTGGACATGCCGATTGGATTGATTCGTTGACTTTTAAAGGTTGACCAGTCTTTATTTGACGTCTTTTTTAGAGTTCCGGTCTCACGCATTATTGGCGACATCCGGGCAAGACAATATGATCAAAATATGGCGGATACAGAGGGAGTTGCCTACCGACGACGCTGAGGAGCTGACCGTTACGAAAAATCGGTTCGATTCGATTTCTGCCGATGGGGTCGTTGTTCCATTTTATCTGCATGTGGACGCCGTGCTCTGTGGGCACGAGGATTGGGTCCATTCCGTAAGGATTAGAAACCATATTTTTATTAGTGTCTAGGTTTCATGGGATCACTCCGGAAAGCGGCTTGTATCTGCATCTAGTGACAAGACGGTAATCGTTTGGACAGAAGATGAGCTGAGTGGCGTATGGACGGATATGGTTCGACTCGGGCTTGTGGGCGGTCAAGCCGCTGGTTTCTACGGAGCTCACTTTGTTGAAGGGGGCATGGCGATTGTTGCATCGTCATATTATGGAGCTCTTCATGCCTGGAGGGCAGACAAGGAGGTTGGTTTTATTTTCATAACCGAAAGGGCGTTTTAAGTAATCGGTAGGCCTTTCTCGAGAGCTTATTCTAGAAAGTTTTGAATTCAGCACTGTTCCAAATTTTATAAATTTTAGACTCAAAGCAAGGGCGAAGCTAATTTTATTATCTGCCGATTGAGCTAGGTCTCGTAGGGATTTGCGAATGACCAACAAGCATTTTTTTTTCTGAACCTTGCTTGCGAGCTTGTCACCTTTTTTCAGGATGAATATCGCTGGGACGCGTTCGCCATTCCTGGAGGGGGACATCCGAGCCCGGTGCGAGACATTGCCTGGGAGCCGAGCGCTGGCTCCTACTTGATCTCCGTTGGAACTGACAAGACGACTCGGATACATGCTCCATTGAAAGATGTAGGAAAATCGTGCTTCCGGTTAATATTTTTGCTTTTTAGGGAGTTTGGACAGAAGTGGCTCGACCGCAAATGCATGGTCATGATATGCAATGCGTAGCGTCGCTGGGACCTACTCGTTTCGTCTCCGGTGCCGAGGAGAAGATTTTTCGTGCCTTCAACGCCCCGGAAACGTTTGCCAACTCGCTGGAGGCGGTGTGTGGGATTGAGAAGAAACAGGTAGATCTTAGAACATCTAGACATCTTTGGTAGAGGCGTATAAATCTTATTTATTTCTATAAATTAGTTTCAGCTCTTTGCCGGGCTTTCACTGTCCGGTTTCGGAGCCAGCGTCCCGGCCCTCGGCCTCTCCAATAAAGCGGTCGACGAGGGCGAGGCCCCCGCAGAAGATGAACGCGCCGGAGACGCGCATTGGGAAGAAGCTGCCTTTGCCGCAAATCCTGCCTCACTTACCGGTATCAATTTTGTAGGTTCCTTGACTCGCTCAATTTCTAGCGGCTCCCACCGAAGATGTTTTGATGCAAAACACGCTATGGCCGGAGATACACAAACTGTACGGGCACGGGTATGAGGTGTACGCGGTGGCCGCAAGTCCTAGCGGCAAACTTTTGGCGACGGCTTGTAAAGTAAATTCGGAGTGGTATACCCTTACTTATATTTTTAGGCATCTCATGCCGAACACGCAGCAATTCTAATATGGTCGACGGAAGACTGGAGTCAGCGAGGACAGGTATCTATTCGTTTTATTTATACCTAAGAAATTGTACTAGGCGACGAATGGACATCAACTGACGGTCGCGCAGCTCGAGTGGAGCCCCTGCGGCACGCGATTGCTTTCAGTCAGTCGAGACCGAACGGCTGTCATCTACGGCGAGGCTGACGGCAATGGTATTTTTTGGGTACTGAACAGTTAACGGGGGACGAAACCCGACGCGTTGTCTTGTCTAGTTTCGAAGGTTTTTGCTGGTTCCGAATACCAAAGGGAAATAGCCATCTTTTAAATTGTCGAGTTTAAATAATATAATATTTTAATTTAAATAAATGAAATGTTCTACGTCTTTTTTGCCCTTAAATTTTTCATGTTTACCAGGGTTGAAAAGCCGCTTCGCGACTTTTCAACCCTGGCCTCGTCTCATCCCATTTTATCCCTCACTTTGCATGCATGATACTCCCCAAAAACGGTGGCAAAAAATGAAAATCGCGTCCTCACCACCATTATATAGGCCTCCGCGACTTCCGGCGTATGTTAATTGTTTCCTAACAAAGAGGAAGACGGAGATTTTAAGAAAAACAAATTTAACATCGAAAATAGCTAATTTTGAAAAAGACGTTATGTGGGCAGTCGAATCGGGACCATTACACATCTAATGACGTATCAAACATATCCCTAATTTGTTCACCTATTGAGATACTACTGGAACCTACTGACGGAAGTTGCATGCAAAGTGTCACACACACACACAAACTATTTTTGATTTCAATTTTATATCAAATTGATCCCCCGATAACGACCCTACAATAAAATTTTCAGTTGACGGCTACAAATGGTCGGCCATCTGGCGGTCGACGAAAGAGCACTCGCGAATCATTTGGTCGTGCTGTTGGGCTGCGGATTCCACGTATTTCGCGACCGCCGGCCGCGATCAAAAGGTATACTTTTATTATTATTAAAAGCAAATATCTGTTTTTCTAGGTGATTGTCTGGCGTTTCGATGGCAACACGCCGAGACCACTAATCGCGATGAAACTCGAACAAGCGGTGACGGCTATCTCGATTAGCCCGGAACGAGAGCTAGGGTAAAATACCTACTGAATTTTAATAACAAGATTTTAGCAAATCGCACATCGTGGCCGGGTTGCAAAATGGGTGTTTACAGGTGTTCAGCATCGATCTAGGGGTATGATCTCTTTGAAAGGCTGGCAAACACTAATTTTAGCAAAACCAACTTTTTTGATCGACGAGATTGGAGCCAACGACTTGCCAGGCATCGACTCGCCAGTAAATCGGATACGGTATTTTTGGCGCAAAAATTGGAGTCGTATAATTTAGATTCCGTCCCCCGCTTCCGGCAGCCACAAGCCATCTGTTCGCCGTCGCGGGCACCGATTTCAAAGTGAGACTGTACGAAATCAAGGGACAATGATTCACTTGTTATTTTTTCTTGTTGTTTTTGGCATGTTCATAAATTTTTTACTTTCTTGATGATGTGGACAAGTATTATAATAACCAGAAATTTATTATTCTAAAACCAAAATTATGTGACTGGAGTGGAATGGGGGTACATGTCATTCTGGGTATTTCGACTGGCATTGTGTGTAGCGGACCCGCAATGTCAAAATAGGCAGAAATAAAAGGGGCGTAGCGAAATTTCATTTTTTTTTTTAAAGTTAGGGGCAAGGGATGAGCGGGGCGTTTTGAGATTACTTTTGGTGGCAGATCAGAGAATACTTGGGTCAGTATCGGGGTCGGTAGCATGATTAAAGTTTGCCTAGGGATGTCGGTGACAGCGGACTCCTTGGAGGCGGGCTCGGCGCGGAAAAATGTGGAGATCTCAATTGTGCGGATGCCCTGAATCGATCGGATTGATGATGAGGCTTTTGGTCACGAAAAGCAATTTTTTTTGCATAATTCCGAAAAGCATCATTAAAAGAGCTTCTTATGCAAAAATTATCAGTTCTATGCACCGCTCACCCGTTTAGAGGTCCTCGGAAAGGCGGAAGCGACATCGGGGCCGTGGGTGTGGGCAAGTCGGCATCCTCATCCATTCCTTCCGTCAGCGTCCCCTCGAAGTCATCATCTACGGATCCAGCCCACGAAGCCCGCTCCTGAGCCGTCACGTAACCGTCCGTCGTGCACGAGGCGAACGACCCCGCCGGCGCCTTCTGCGCAAAGCCACACTAGCTTGCGGGCATAGGCTTGTAAAGGGAGGCGCGCGCGTGCTTTTTTGCAAGAATTTCAGCAATATTTGAACGGCTTTTCACAGCAACAGAACAGCCGCTTTTCATGAAATCTCGAGCAAACTACGCTAAGCCAGCAATAAAAACGATTTTTTGCGACTTTACGACGGCTTTTTGGCCACCATGCAAACTCGGTAGTAGAACATACCTTGGTATCAAGCACCGTGTCCGGCTCGGGCACTTCGTATTTGTTGTGGGGGCGTTGTTCAACTAGGGCTTTACAAATTTCGTATATTTTCTGTTGTAAAAGCTTACGTTTCGGTGGCGGGGTATGGTTTCCGAAGTCTTGCGGACGCAACGGAACATGCTCTTCCGGTTTTTCTGAATCGATGGTACAGTTTTCATTTTTAGCAAAATTCAAAGCTCAAATCACACCTTTCGGCTCTGGCTTCGGATCCTTGCACGCGCAGTAGCAGCACAGCCCGACAGTGAGGAGGGTGATGAGGAGCAGGCTCAGCAATAGCCCAATCAACCACCCTGAAAGAGAGTCAGACCATTAGATTCAGCAGATTACTTACAATTTGTGGCATCGCCATCGCCATCCTCTTGATCGAGAGGAGCGTGATCGTTGTAGGTTCTGCGCGCGAAGTTTGTCGACCAATTCGGGAATTCTACCGTATTCTGGTAGCCTGGAAAAATCCGGGGGTTACAGAAATAAACCCTTTAAGCTTTGTTACAGAAAATGGGAACGAAAACTTACTCGGCAAGGCGTTAGCCTCGTAAAAATCGGCGCATTTTACCCGCTCGGCCGTATTCGGCAGCATTCGGACCTAGAAAAGGATTATTTTGTTTCTAGAGAACTTACCCTAGATGAATGTGGATGCGCCGAATTCCCTAGATACCCGAACGGTTCAAACGTCAGCTGGGATCGCTGGTAATCCACGAGTAGGTCTAGATTTTCCAGGTTTAGGGCCGCTTTTAATGCACTAACTGCTAATACAGCCCTCATAATTCGTCGACAATCGACTCGGGTTTTCGAGTTGGCGCTTGGCGCGGTTGTTGGGGACGAAGACTTCTTCGGGTTGGCCGCCGATCTGAAACATTGGTTTTTTAACATTTCCTTAATTCTGGACACATTTTAAGACAAGAAAGCACGCATATCGGGTTAAATTTGGGCGCCGAAAATTGGAGAGATACCTCAATTCTCTCGGCCGTGTACAAATCGAGGTTATCCCCCTTGGCGACGACATCGAAATCCCGTCTCAACGAGTCGATCTAGATTCTATAGTAGCTTTTTAAAATTTTCGACATACCACAACAGCTGTTGCGTGTTTTTTCGAGAATTGCACGACAACAAAATGCCGGAAGCCGTCGGTGAAATTGCCGGCGAACGTGATCACCTGATTTTTATCGTTTTAATGATTGGTGGATATTTTCAAGCCTGTATCTCCTTGGCGAATACGGCGCCTGCATTGATGGTGCCGTTTCGGTTCAGGATCAGTTCGAAACGCCTGAAAAAAGCTGTCAATTTATCTTGAAAAAGCTTACATAGACGGATCTTTGAAACGAATTGTTGCCAAGTGCTGTTTGGATGGGTGCATGCTGACACGGGCGGAGAAGGCAAACTGGAATTGAGGACGGGTTAATTCTGAATGATTTTCTTTATATTTCTTTCTTTTTCAACATAAAAAAGGATCAAATCGCATTTAAAGCGTATTCTTTCAAGCTCTTTACCTTCAATAACTGCGAATATTTCGGGTCCTCGTCCAGAATCACAGATTTCAAAATCTCGCCCACTTGGAACTCCAACACCGAATTTCCGTCAAATCGAAGACCGTCGTCTGGGATTATCGTTTTGTTAATTTTTGCTGACTAACTCACCCAAAGCACAAGTTGCTCCACGATAGCTGGTGCGCGAGCAGTCGCACGTCGTCCGTACGTAGGATGGATCGTAGTTTCGCCACGCGTACGCGCAGTGGCCGCCGTGTTCGCATTGTAGCTGATCACAGCCGAATGAGCAGTGCGGGCGAACTAGGTCTGAAATAGGTGGAAATAACGTTAGCTGTAGTTATATCACGAGATTTATTGACTTATTTGCGGCCTAAAAACTTACTATCATCTTTCGGGCGATAGCCAAGCTTTGTGTCCCTCATATCAACAATATTCGACCCAACCCGCAGTCCTCTGATGCATCCAAGCAGATCCGGGATCTCTGATTGGTATACTGGCGTTAACCTGTAATTTGTATCACCTTATTGTTAATAACAAATTATACAAAGGCGATACTGGAATTTCACGGCCCATATTTAATTGAAATCCTAGAACACGTGAAAATACGACACCTATACTCACCCAAAAGCTCGGCTATAGCTGAAAAAGGCCCGTTTTAGGAAAGAAACCGGAAGGAAGAAATCTTCAAACCTTTTCTCGTCTTTCTGCGAATGCGTATCCCGCTCGACACCGCCGACGAACAGATGGAGCAGCGGCTCGGGTTTCGTGGGAGATTGCAGACCGATTGGCACTGTGACAAAGTCTGAAAATAGCTGATTTTCGTAAGATGTACAATACTAACCGATTCCAGGTCTTGTGTAGTGATAGCTGTCCATCCTCTCGGTCGCCAGGGCCCGCTCGGCCGAAATCGAACACAAATCTTCGCCAACGCTCAGGATGCTGCCGGAATCGCTGTAAAAAAGTAAGAAAAGCGTCAGCTAATCGTTCAAACTTATGACTTAATTCTAAGTTTTAAACAAAATTCAGTATTTTTGGCAAGAAATGACTGCTTCAACGCGATGAAATAGCAGCGCTCCATTGACGCGAACCAAACCGCCACGCGTTCACCAAAACCCCCGAAAAACTCACTGGTGCGTGACGACAATCTGGATCCACTCCATGTCGCTGAACTCAGAGCGAGGGCGAGCCGTCACGCTGCAGGCAAATACCTAGGAATCGGATTCTTACGAGAAATCGAAAACCTTACATTATCGCGATTGTTGAGCGTCAGCGTCACGTTGACCTCCTCGGAGATGTGGACCTAGAACAGATGAGTTTAAGTTGGATATTTTTCAAGTTCCTTTTTTAACAAACATTTTATCTTTTAGAGCAATAGTCAACCTGCAAAAAGTTGTGGTTGTGGTCGTGGGCGAATAGGATCAAGCCGTGCGGTTGGTCGGTGCGCGCCGAGACGACAATCTAAAGCATTGATTTTTGCTTAGAAATGAAGGATTTTTATTAACAACCTATTGTGAATCAATATAATTAAGTATCAAGTATTTTATACCTGTTCGGTGAGCGGATTCCATTCACGGGCGTCATATCGCAAGAAGCCGCCGTGGAACGATACGTCAGAGCGTTCATTCAGGTCTAAATTTGCAAAATTGGATTTTTCTTTTTTTTCTTAATGATTCTAATTATGGAATTCCTTTCTTTTCTTTTTTTTCCCCCGCCCCCGTGCCAAAGCAGCGCCAACCTTTTTTTTCCTTTTTTTTTTTTTTTTCTTTGTAAGTTCCCCCCGATAATGGAAAAGCACCGATTTTGTTACAAAAGTCGCTTACCCAATTCACAATTAGCACCGAGATGTATGTGCGGATATTTGCAGATGCATCTAAAGCAAACAATAGCTTGACAATCCTTTTGAAGCCTACTTGGCAGTCTGGGTCCCGAAATCCTCGATACATTTCGCTTCGTTGTGGCACAATCCCGGGGTGCACTTCTCCTCACAACCCATCGACACATCTATCGAATTGATTACGGCGTGAAAATGAAGCTTTACCTGATGCTTCTTTGAAGTACTCCTCCAAATCGACGTACACGTTGTTGACAGCAACGGACCGGATGCAGCCAAGGAGACCGTTTTCGGTACTGTAATGGAGTTTTTCGCATTATTTTGGTGTTGAATATTCCAGTGATATAAATCTTCAGCGCTTGGCCAAAAAGCAAAAAGTTTTGCACCTGGCGGGATCGAACTCTGGTGGTTCGCCTGGCAGGCTAGAACACTACCATTTAGCCACGAAAGAAGTGGTCCGAAAAAATTACTGGACTTTTTAAAAAAATATCACGCCAAACCATTTACAAACTACAAACCCGTGCTCGGCTCCGATCCACAGTCTCGATCGTGGCAACTGCCCATCTCCAAGGCTGACGATCGAGTGTTGACCATCGAGGTGAAGCATCAGCTGGCCATACGCCGCCTCGACGCGTACCAAGTGCCATTTCGTGTCATTCAACCGATGTTGGGTCTCGACAATGACTGAGACTTCTCGGGCGCCATCTTTCCACATGAATGTCAAGAATCGGCCTGAATTCGAGTGTTTTTAAAGGGATGCCGACGGCATAGTCAATCGGTTACGCGCGGAAAAGAAAATGTCTCTGCGCCTCTGCCGTGGACGCGTTCTATCCCCTGTTGGCTACTTGTCAATTTGTTGATGAGGGGGGATCGACACATGCCGTCGGCAGCCCTTTAAAGGGACCGGCAAGGAAGGGATGTGAATATTGCTGACTATGGCTAGATAATGGGTCTTCCCAACGCCGCGCTAAGTAACGCTCCCGCGTTTTGACACCATTTTCTGGCTCTAAAAGGCTAACAATAAGCTAAAAAATCACCATTTTCCAGCTTAATCTCAGCTCGATTCCTCGGTTCTGCTTGAATACTGGCCAGCAGGGCACTTTCTAAATAATTTAAACCGATTAACAGGCAGAGGTTTTAAGATTACCGTCAGCAGTCCTGAACTGGAATGAGAGATGCGATCCATCCCATTTGGCCGTTGGGATCGAGCCCGTCTTCTGGAGACGAACGGCAGTTGCACCGGCTGATTGTTGACTCAGGTACAAAACAGATGGTTCAAATACCGTATCCCTGGCAGGTGAGTGGCGAGAGAGATAGGCGGCCGTCGATGTCGAAGCGACGGTGTAGCGCAATAACTTTGGTGATACCTAAAGGGTGGAAATGATACCGTATCCTGGGGCTAGATGGTACAGTCCAATATTTCGCTTGTTTTTATCTACTGCAAACAGAAAAATTACCGGCATTCTTATTGGTGAAGACACCCTCATCAGCGGTCGGCTGCGGGGAATCGCAATTGCACGCGCCTAAAAATTTCCCATAGGTATACGGTAATTTTGAGTCCGCTGAGTGACAAAGGTCATCTTTTTTGCTTGCATTTTTCTCAATTGCCATAATTAGCTTGCTACTAAAAAATTAAAAAAAGCCGCTGTCCACGTCCAACCCGATTAACAACCAACAAAATCCATAGCCATTCCTTTTCTTTTCTTGAAAACTCGAAAGAACTCACCAGATCCAATACAACTTCCGCTAGCCGCACAGGCGCACTGGAAATCATTCGTCGCGCCGAAGTGTTGAATAGTTTTGTTTGCATCTGCCGCTGCATAGAACCACGTGTGATTTTGGGCAAAACTGCAATAAAAAATTAAATCGAAAATAAGTGGTACTAACTTGAATGGAGCTCCATTGCATTCATAGCGGGCACGTTGTTCGCATTTTTCGGATTGGCCGATTAGGGCGGAGAGTTTTTGACCGGAGAAGTCCCTGGAAATTGGGGTGAGGTTGGGGGAGGCTAGCAGGGAATCTTTCTCTAATATATTCTTGAATCAAGCTAACAGAGATTGTTTAGCAATAAAGTTTTAACAAGCCTAAGCCTAAACCCTAAGCCTAAGCCTAAGCCCTAAGCCTAAGCCTAAGCCTAAGCCTAAGCCTAAGCCTAAGCCTAAGCATCCTAAGCCTAAGCCTAAGCCTAAACCTAAACCTAAACCTAAGTCTAAGCCTAAGCCTAAGCCTAAGCCTAAGCCTAAGCCTAAGCCTAAGCTTAAGCCTAAGCCTAAACCTAAGCCTAAGCCTAAACTTAAACCTAAACCTAAGCCTAAGCCTAAGCCTAAGCCTAAAGTTCTAAGCCTAAGCATAGCAGCGGTCCTTTCGGAATGGGTCTAATGCTGTCTCGATAGGGCAAACCAGCAAGGATTCCTTAGGATAAGACGTATTTTTTTAGAGGCAAACTAGCAGCGATTTTTTTGAAAATCCACCTGGCAACCAAATGCGAAATGTAGCGGTTTAGCAGAGATCTTTGAGGAATATATAAAAAAATAGTGTCTGTGTGTGTGTGTGTGTATATTTGCATGCACTTCCGTTTGGATGTTCCGCTCCTACAGCCTCGGGGGAAGGGTTTTTGGATAGGGAAGAAACGACAATAGGTTTAGAATGGTCCGGAATCGACTGCACACACATAAAAATTTTGAAAAATTGCGGTTTTCGCTATTAAAAATAGGTTTTTGTAAAACCCTGTTTGTTAGGGGAAATTAGCATGCGCCGGAAGTAGCAAGAGCCTATATAAAGGGACAGAGGAGCCGTTTTTCACTTTTTTCTTGCTAGAATTCAGGAAGAAACATGCAAATTAAGAACTTTCACAGGTCCTGGACGGGGCCAGGGTTGAAAAGCCGCGAAGCGGTTTTTCAACCCTGGTCTTTGAGGAATTAATGCAGAGGTCAATCCAGATAGAAAAAAATTTACGAGGATGTTTAGGAAACTTCTTGTTTCAAAATAGGAAACTAGCAGCGACTCTTTGGCGAATCACCCAGTAATTTTCCATAGAACAATCTAGCAACGAACTTTTAGAAAATCATCAATAACCTCGGCTTTTTTCCAAACCCACCTGTAGGATAACACAAAAAGCGAGTGTGTTTGGAAGGCGCTGTCCCGGATAGACGTCAACTCTGGCATATCGTGGATTACGGTCGTTTTTCCTGGAATTTCATCCATTAACGCGTAAATTGTCAATCTACCATTCTCACAATCAGCAACGACACGCTCCAATGGACCACTGCCGTCCAGGTCGAGTTTCGTCGCGCCCTTCGGGAGGCCGAGTTTTGCCGCCTCGGCGCAAGTACGAGGGAGAACGGCTAAAATCGGGATTGCAATTACGTGTCACACCGGCTTTAGCCTGACCCTCCAAAAACTCACAAAATTGGCAAAATTCCCCGGTGTAATCATTAGTGCATTGACAACGCGGCACTCCCTTGTCCTTCACACATTTTGCCCCATGTCTGCACTGCGTCTCATCAGCCTTCTCGCATTCAGAAAGTTTTGGCAGTTCTAAAACACTTTAAAGGGGTGTGGAAGCCGGAAACCCACTCCTCTCCTTGGCCGGAACCGGGAACACATCAGCACTCGCCGGTTTTTCCTTGTACTCGACAAATGCCTCCGTGGTTTTGCGCACCTCCATGTTTGCTACCTTTGCGACGCTCTCCAACTAGAGTAAAGAGTTCAATTCCGGAACGATACGGTTCCTTACGTTTTGCAAAAACGGCCCCTTCGATTCACAGGAGGCTAATTGTTTGTCGCTTGCCACCTAAAGATTTATTTTAAAGGGACGTTCAAGGCATGGTTATGCTACGGGTTTTGGGCTGTCAGGATTTTCAGGTCATAACCGGTTAAGTTAAAAAAAAATAGGTTGACTGATACCCTCGGGTCCAAAAAGTGGAGCTTCTCCAAAATATCCATATGGTCGACGTAGACTCCATGCAAACAGCCGGTGAACCCGAGATCTCGTTCTCCATCTTTATGCGCGGATTGACCGAAGACGATTTGCTGAAAAGGGGCTCTTAAAGGTACACTAACGTCTCGTTGGTTTGGTTACCGGCCGGTAACCGTCCGCGGGATAGCAAACAGGGTTACGGTAGGGGCTCGCCGCGGAGCAAAACCGAACCCGGACCACTCGCCTGGGGCAAGCGCTTTGGACCACTAGGCCATGGGACAGACGGGAGAGGGGAGAGGGGAGGGGGATAAGAAGGGTCGGGGCTTGCTGCGGCCAAGAGCCCGAATACCCGATCACGTACCTAATTTTTGCACAAGATTTTAGTGTACCTTTAAAGGTATCACTCTCTCACAGTATCAAATTATCTCTCTCTCTCTCTCTCTCTTTCACCACCTACCGTATACTCGACCATTTCCCCTTCTTTCCACCCAACCATCACGACAGATTCATCGTCGATAAAAAGCTCAAACCGTTTCGTCTCGTAGTCCATCGTCAGCAGTAGTTTATGAACCCTAAAATGTGCTTATTGTTTTAAATGCCGTAATCCCACTGTAGCCCCTGATCCAGTTGAAAGTGAATTGGCGGCAGTGCGAGCAACAAAAATGTTCCCTCCTGGGCATTGATAAATACACGAAGGGGCGCCGGCTGCGATATATTCGCTGACAGCACCACGCTCTGTTGGTCGTTGTTTGTTGCAGTCTGGAATTAGTTTGCTACAGCGTGAGCTAGATACAGTACCCTGAACTGCATGGAGATCCTTTTTGGGTGTCGGTCTTCCTTGAGGGGGACGTACCATACACCCTTGTCGTTTTCGGCATCTACGAAGACTGAACGGGCTTCTGAAATTGTGGATTGAAAGGGATCGAGAGAGAGAGAGAGAGAGTGAGAGAGTGAGAGAGAAAGTGAGAGAGAGAGAGAGAGAGAAAGAGAGAGTGAGCGAGAGAGAACAAGCGATAGAGCGAGAGAGAGAGAGAGCGAGTAACAGAGAGGGAGAGAACGAGAGAGTGAGAAAGAAAGTGCGAATTTGCACTCCCTACCGCGTCATTTGGTCATTTGGTCATTTCGTCATTTGGTCGTCTTAATGTAAATCTTACCGTCCCTACAGTTCGGCCCCGATTTCTCCGTCCCGTAGCAATCACATGTCGGCACTTCGAGCTGCAGGCAATTGCCCTGAAATTTTGGAATTATGCTACATGCACTGCAAGACAAATCCCTTCATAACTTTTCCAGTTTACATCCGATTTCCTTGAAATTTTTAGCATTTTTATGCGGAGCAGTTAAAATGATACCCATAAAAATTTTCAAAACAGAATCTTGAAATGAAAAAGTTATAGAAAAAGTAGCAAATTTTTTAGTGTTTTTAGGGTTAGAACTGTTTCGTACGTCAGACTCCAAAAACTTAATTAATTTTTCTAAGCTCACGTGTCCACAGTCCATAGTCGCACAATTCCCTTCAGCTCCACACTCCGATACGTCTTTTTCCGTTACTTTCCGCAATTCCTGTTTCTCGCCATTTTCCGTTGATATCGCGACAACTTCGAAGCATCCGGTGATTGAAGGAGAGTCTACAATATTAGATTCCGTGACTTCACAGTGCCGTTAAAACCGTACCTTGAGCCCCAAGCACCAATCTGATTTTGGCTCCCTCCATCGGAATCTTGGTCGAGATCTCGCTGCTGACTTCACCCCTCGAATCGACTCGATATACAAGATTTCCCATCTTGTTGTTCAGCTTCACATTTAGTTGATGCTCAACGGAAGCGTCTGAAAAAAAAACAAATTCTCGATGGCATTGAATTCTGACTGATCAGCGTCTGCGAGAAGGGCTTCTTCAGGGCGTCCTCCCCCTTCTCATCGTAGAGGTCAACTTGCAGGAATTCTTTGTATAACGCGACTCGTAGCTAAAAAGACGTTTTAAAAAGGATGCTTGATCGATTAAAGGGATGGGAAAGGAAAGGCTATGGATTTCAATCGATTTTGCATACGTATCGGGTTGCGCGCGCCGTATCGCGCTGTGAATCGCGTATCGCATCAAAATCCATAGAAACTTATAGCCAAAAACATCGATGTTTATGCCTTACTCACACCCTCAAATGCCTAGAAGATCATACCTTAAATATGGTCGCATTTCCATGATATCCATCCATCGAGAAAATGGTACCCGTAAAGGATTGGGGCCGGACTTTGACGGCAGCCAGGATTTCTTCAGATTCTAAATTAACGGTTAGTATATACATTACGCAACTTGATATCTCAAAACTATACAATTTTATTAAATATTGGCCTTTGAATCCAATGGCTAAATGTTAGTGTGTTAGCCTATCAGGCAAGCGACCCGAGTTCGATCCCCACCCGTGACGCAATTTACTGCTTTTTGGGCAATAGATTGGAATTTGCAGCCTCTTACCTCCAATTACAAGCCTGTCATTGGTAAACGCTGCATAGGAGTGAGGCTGGTTGAGGAAGAGCCGTTGGGAGAGGGTGGAGATGAACACGGTCGAGAAGACGAGTAATAGAACCCATCGATTATGATTATGCATTGGAGCCGAAAGACGGCTAAAAAGGTGATTCCTAAGCACACAAAAACCAGGAAAATGAAGGGAGTAAGGTGGTTATGTAGGAGCTTCAAAACGACATGTTACGTCTTGGGAAAATCCCTAACAGCACGGCCATTTCAATTTCAATTGGTTTGAATTTTTTACAAGTGGTTTAGACAATTAAAAACCATCAACTCTCACAAATGTAGCTCGAAAACATCTGAATTAAAAAAGTTCAAGCAAAAATAAAATTTTTTTGGAAGCTAAAAATGCTAATTTTCCGCTAACTTTATTTTACAAGAATTCGGGGTGAAAATTTGAAAGTAAGTAGTCTATAGTTTCTGCTATTGACGGTACAAAATTTCAATGAAATCGGATGTCCTCGACGCACCATGTAATTTTCGGAATTTCATATTTCGACTCGAAAATGAGTGCATAAATCGAAAGCTAAGGGGATGGCTTGTGGAATAAAAGGTTTGCGTTTTGAAGTTGCGTCCAGGAGATAAGCCATAGAATAGATGGACACCCCGCAAACAAACAAAACTTATCGCCAGAGCGGGCTTGCAGCGAAAGGAGGGGCGTTGTTTACGGCGGAGCGTGCCGGAATTTGACAGTGATTCTGAAGGAGGGCATTCAGCCAGAGCAGAGTTTTTCTGGTCCGGTAGATAGAGCAAAAAATTCTGAGCCGTGGCCTGCCCTGAAAAATGCAGAAAAAGCTACCGTCTCCCTCAAACCCACTTAATATACGATCCAAAGTTTTGCATGAAACTCGTTGTTTTGCAATATCGTACTGATTTTCCACTTTTTGAAAAAACTATGTTGGGCAGAATTTTATGCGTTATTGAATGAGTTATGTCCGGATTGCGCATTAGCAATGAGCTTTGAGGAAATTTCTCAAAAAAATGAAAAATCATTCCCAATTACAAGCTCTTAAAAAATTCTAAATTTAGATCAAACTAGAATTTGGCATTATATCAGATAAAATGCCATTTGCCGATCAGAATCGGCAACTAGCAAAAATTATCAGGGAAAGTCGATGTCCAAAACCCCCAACAATTTCGAAAGTGTCAAAAATTACATAATTTTTTGGGTGCGAAACGGCTTCTGAAATACCGGAAATGGCTATCTTTTCGGGTGTGATTCAGCCACCGCCCCCAGTTTATCGCAAAGACCAAGGGGAAGAGAAGGGCAGGGAGAAGCCGTCAAAAAGCTGGGTGAGCCATCAGAATCGATAGCCCCCCAAAAAAGGCAAGTCAAATCGATGTGGATGAATTTGGAATAGTGCCAACAAATAGTGAAACCCCGTTGAGAGGGGGATTTCCGTATATAGAATCACGATGGATAAACGGGTCCAAGAAGGGATTAGCCGGCCACTTTTGCGGATTAGGGGGTGAATTTCGAATGGAAGGCCATGTTTTATGGCCCCGATGTTCGCTAACAAATATTTTCAATCGGGGACAGGCAGGCTAGCAGAGATCATGTAGGAATTTTTGAAAACTAGGATTCATGTGGAACGAATGGAGGCTATCCCGAGGCAAGCTAGCAAATTTGAGGACTAATTCTCAGATGCAAATCGTACGGCTCGATCTCGTCTTGAGTGGATACCCGGAATATGACCCTCGACGGCATGGTCCTTTTCTTTTTCCTTTCCGCGCCATTCTTATTCCCATTCGTCGATTTTATTCGCTATCTATCGGGCATGGGCCATCCCCCCCCCCCCTTTCCCTCAACCCCCCAAATAGCGCTTCATTGTGAGTCAGAAAGGGTATGGGGGCCTACAGGGTGTCCCAATAAAAAAGGTCACGCTGGCATTTCGCCATTTCAAATCTGTTCGACCTGAAATTTGGAACAGAGCTGCGAAAGGGAATTTAAAATGTTCACAGAAACTTTCAGCCCGATCGGTACAGTAGTTTTCGAGTTATAACAAAATTACTGTTTTTCCAACATTTTCGCTTGATGTATTCGGCTATCTTTTTGGACTTTGCATAAATTACCATCAATTTCGGCCCTAAATCCCTCATTCTTCTTAACATCGGGGATGATAACACGTTGTTAAAATCAATTAAAAAACCTATTTCCAAGACGAATTTTACGAAACAAAAAATTTTCTGGGGTAAAAAAGGGTCGGCGCTTCATTTCTGCCATACATACCAAGGCTCAATTCCGGCGAAATCCAGGTTAAAAACGTAAAATAAAGTTTATTTTTGCTATAATTCGAAAACTACTGTACCGTTCGGGCTGAAAGTTCCTGTGAACATTTTAAATTCCCTTCCGCAGCTCTGTTCCAAATTTCAAGTCGATCGGATTTGAAATGACAAAATGCCAGCGTGACCTTTTTTATTGGGACACCCTGTATATGCCGACATATTTACAAGCGAAAAGTGGGGTGGCTTGTAAAAGTTGGGTTTAAATTGTAAACTTAATTAATTAAAGGGACAGACGAGCCAGAAATTTTGGGTAACGAAAGACAGCGAAGGGGGGAGAGATGACGGTAGTGAGACAGCGAGAGAGACAGACAAACAGCGAGGGACATCGTTGAAATACACGATAATATTTCCAAAAAACTTTACTCGACTGAGCTGGCCATCGGAATGAAAAAGCCTTTTGGCTGGAAACGCGTTTTTTTGGGGGATGATAAGGGGAGGCAAGGTGGGAGGAGGGCATTTGGCCAGTCAGTCATTGTCAACAAACATGGCTTTACGCCTTCACTTACTCATCAAACGCTTGTACAAGAACAGTCATTCTAAATGTTGCCAGTTTTAAATTCCCTAGCTGCCATTTCATATGGTTTAAAGGGACGGGCAAGGCACGGCCATGGATTTGGGTAGCTTAGGTTTCTTATCGATCCTGCAGCTACGGCTTGCCGCGTTACAAGTCTCGCTGCGTGTCAAGCTGCATGTCGCGCAGCGTGCCGTGTTGCGTGTCGCGGGTGTCGGCTGGGGATTTTCTTATTGATGCAGCCGCGTCGCGTGTCGACCCTGCGGCATAAATTTCAGAAACATATCTTTTTTCTCTAATTTTTTGATTTTGTTGGTTTTTTCAGGAGTACCATATTCCATTTGAGCAATCACGGTTTATCTCAATAAAAAATGCAATAAACTAAAATCCAAGCCATAAAATACAAATTGTGAATTGAGCAGAAGCGAATCGGGAAGAAGAAAACAGACGACAGGAAAGACTGGGGCAAAAATCGGCAATTTTGCCAACCGCAAAAATATCTATCTAAAATTATCTGAGATCTTTTCTAGAGCTAGACTAATCAAAAATAATTTTAGATGATGAACTTTACTTTAAAAAGTAATATTTTTTCAAATGCATGGCAAGAAGCCACAAATTTTAAGACATTATAATCGCGACTGCGTAATGGAAAATAATGGCGGTTTTCTGGAGGTGAGCGGGGTGGAATAGACGGTTTCGTCGACTGGTTCCATATAGAGTGTACTGGCTTCTGATGTGCTGCTGTCAAAGCTAAACCAAATCAGAGGCTATAAAGGTATTTAGGAAATACAATACCTTGGCGCGTACGGCAGATTGGAGATCGGGTTGTAGCGCGAAATCAGGGCTCGGCTGAAAAGGAATAGTATTTTGATATTTCGATAATTTTAGCTAATACGGCTTAAGGAAACGCAATTGTCTTGTTTCATTCGATAGAGCAGAAAATTTTCAACAATACCTAGCCCTCAAAAATACCTTATATTACTGTAGAGGAAAAAATTTCCATAAAAGGTTACCTAGAAAACAGCTTTAAAACCCATCTTCCGGCTTTACACTAAAATTATAGCCTGTGTTTGCCGGTGTCTTCGGTTCGGAATTTTTTGCTCAACGATCAATCGTAGTCGATTTCTCCCAACATTTTTAACAATTTTGACAACAAACCTGTAGTCAATCGACGCTCGCAGCTCCCAGATTGGCGTCTCCATTTGGCTGGAGCTACAGGGTGTCCAAAAAAATTGTTCCGGACTTTGGGCTCGAATAACTTTTGATAGAAGAATATTTCACCATGCGTTACCATGCCAGAATGCTTAAAAGTGTCTGGAACTCCGATTTAGATCAACTTGATTTTTTTGATTTTTGGCGACGTATCAATACAAATGACACCCGAAAACTGTGCGTTCGGGGAAGTTTAATTTGTATTTTTCTCAGCGGCCTGTGGCGGGCGGTTTCTAATTTTTGCTGTGTAAATTCTTGTAGGCATTAGATAGATACATGCAAAATTTAAGATTTTTCTAAGGTCTGGTTGAAAAGTTATAGCGGACTGAAGTTTATTATGGAGAAATTTCGTAAATTTCGAGTATTAAAAAACCCATGGCGAAAATCACAAACTAAGTCGTTGTGGATTGCCGACAGACTCTATACTATCACATAAACATATTAAAGAATTTTTTGAGATCGGTGATTTTTCGAGTTTTTAAACGACCCCCTGGTCACCGTTTTTTCGAGGTGACAAAATCGAACTTTGAAAAAATATTCCTAAAGTTCCGAATAGAACCTAGGTGTTTTCTTGGCTTGGTTGTGTAGGACTGGAGTCTAACTATCACGTAGACAATTTCTAGCTACTGTACCCCTTTGGAAGGCTGCCTTTTAGCGCCTCCAAAACGGTTGGTTCGTGCTATTTCGCAGACCTTTGCGCCAGTCGATAAAATTTAATTGCGCGGCTAGACTTATTGTCATAATTTTATTTAATGCTACTTAATGGGCGCATTCTAAAATTATATTTACAAATTTATTGGGCCATACGATCTCTCAAAAGAAATTCATGAAAAGTCCAAATATACCCGAATGCGAGGCGACGTAAAAAAATTCTCGAGGCTTTACTAGCCCCGATTTTTCTGGCATAGATGAAGCTTGGGTAATCAACTAGAACCCATGCAAATACAAAACCTTTTCATGGCAAACGAATTTAGAAGAGCTCCCCAGAGTCGGCTTTTCAAAAAAAGTTATTTTCGGGTTTGAAATCAAAATGAACCATTAACTTCAGCCAGATCATTCCAGAACTTGGCTCTCATACACAGTTCGATGCGTGCTTTAATTGTATCCACCAAACCCCGGTGCCTTTTTTATTTTCAAAAATTCGATTTTCGAGCCAGGGCGTCGAGTCCAAAATCGGGGCACGAGGGGGATTTTCCTCTCTCCTTCATAACTTTGTCATTTGCCACAGGAATCAAGTAATTTTTTGTAGGTGCTTTTACATTCACCCAGAGAACAGTCTCGAATCGAAAAACCGTCACTTTATGGAATTTTGTCTTGGCATGCTAAAACGCGCTCCAGGCGGGTTACTGTAGAAAACAGAAAAACGCCGTTTTCTCGTTCTTATCACCATAGAAACGTTTCGATCTTTCAGGAAAACAAACAATAGTAGTTTTCGGACCGATTCATTAAAATATTTAGAAATTGTCCGTGGCTAAATTAAAAAATCAGCTTTTTTGTATATTTTGGGAAGGTGTGTGGCTAGAACTTTGCGATATTTTGCCCATGGCTGCCCCTTACTGGTGTTTACCGATGGTAAAATTTTCAGCGAAATCGCAGCTTACAATAAAAAGAAAAACGCGAAAAACGAAAACTACAGTATCCCTCTGGGGCACGTTTTAGCGAGCAATATTAAAATACCATAGAATCAGGTAAAATTTCGTGTTGGGCTAAAGATTATCACTTGGAGACACCATCTGCAAAAGGTCAGCCATGGGCAGCGTATTTGAAGCGAGTTGCGAATTAAAAGGCAAAAAGCTGTAAAATAGTGAAATTTGTTTTGCTTGTAAAAAGAAGAACAAGAGCTTCAAAAATTCGAAAGTTTTGCTGATTATTTTTCTACAAATGTCAGCTATTTTTAGGCCAAAATCAGAATTTTCCACCACCCGTTCAAGAACGCACAATTTTCGGTCGTAACCAGCGTCAATAGTACAGTTGCGTACTCAAAAATCGAAAAAATCAACTTGATCAAAATCAGGTTCCAGACACTTTTAAGCATTCTGGCATGGTAACGCATGGTGAAATATTCTTCTATCAAAAGTTATTTCGAGCCCAAAGTCCGGAACAATTTTTTTGGACACCACGAGAACGTTATAGTAATTACGAAACCGACAAGGGGATCAGCCCATCCTGCTCCAGCCGATCGCGATCGAAGGCGCCGTTCCCTTTGAAGTGCCATTATTACACGGCGATCGTCAGCCTAGCCTTCTAGAAAGGTTCAATTGTGGTGCTGCCGGCATGTTTAACTGGATTATTTCTGTGATGTGTACCGCAAAAACCTGCCTGGCGACCAGTACCGCTTCCCGAAGCGGACCGCCATGATGATGAAAATGATGCCGCCTGCAATGAGGGTGGCTGTGCCTTGCTGCGGGCGAAGCTTTTTCTTATCCCCGTGCTATGCCCTTTCGTCCGGAATCGTCGAATCGCTTTTCTGGCGTAGTCTCTGTTTCGGCCGCAGTTTTCAGTTCGTTTACTACAAACCTGGCTCGTTGAGCAAATTTCGACGCTCTGTTGAGATGGCACTAAAGAGATTTTCAAAAATGTCGAAAAAGTCGAAAACTTCCTATCATTCTTGGTCCTCTATGGAAACCAGTTTTGATACTTGTTTTTCGACGATTTTTATGTTACCTTATTTGGAACTAAAATTAAAACTGTTAGTATATTTTTCGATGCTCTATTGAATGGCGTCTTTAAGATGTCAGAAAAGACATATCTGTCACTATGTCCACAAAAATTTGCAATAGCCATACAACGACAGCAGCTACGTCAATACGGTGACGCGGATGTAGGCGGAGGCCATCAGCGCACTGGAAGCATCCGCGGTCGGTGCCCGGAGGATCGTTTTCTCGAACTTTGCGAGATCGACCTCGATGTCAGGCAGAGATTCTGATGACGTTCAGACATGCTGCTGGTAGCTTTTTGCCTAGAGCATTTTCTAGGCTGCAGTTTGCTACCCCACAGCCGGAAGTTTTTTGGTTATAACTTTTTTATTTTACATTGTGTGGCTCAAATTAAAACTCTTAGTATATTTTTCGACGCTCTATAGATGGCGTTGCAAAAATCCCGACAAAATAAGCGAAAATACCAAAAACTTTGAGACCCTTGGCTGTGGAAAGAAAACAAATAAACTCCTACCTATTTTCATTTTTTCAAACCATTTTGTTTTGTTGAAATGCACCCAATTTTATAATCCATTTTGGAAGGCGTGCCGTACCAGTCGACATCATCGGCCTTCCACCTTCTCCACCTTAGCGGCAAGTTTTTCCTTGTCTCAGCTGTGCATTTTGTAGAAGGGATTCGTGGTGCAGTCGAGGAAGATGTTGCGCTCGAATCGATACAGTTGGTGCTCCTGAAAAACGGCAATTCAAGATTCAAAAATGTGAGGTTTGAAAATT